CCTAGGGCTCACCTTGGCTGCTAGGGCTGCACCTTGAGCCACAGCGCCAAGGACAGGCTTTGAGGTGACCTCCCCCACCTCTTCTGGCTTCCGAGATTTGTTTCTTTCTGGGGAGAGAGAATCACACAGCCTGTTTAATTCTCCAGCCCGGGCGGGAGCAGAACATATGGGCATTTTGCGCTCAGCATCTGTGTCATCAGTCGTGTTTTCTGTGGGTGCTTGCGTGTGTGTATGTGTGTGTGCTTGGGGCCAGGCGCTGGGAACAAACGTGCATCTGTTAAATTTGACAATAAAATCCTAGAGCGAAGCTGCCAAGATTGGGGCGGAGAGTGGGTGGGGGGCGGAAGACAGAGGGTGGGGGAGAGCTGGAGTCTCAAAAGGCGAGGCCAAAGCGCCAGGCCCAGGTATTATGTCGGGAGAAGGTGAGGCGAGCAGCTGCTCCTTCTCGCCGGGTGTGTATGGGAGCGAGGGGTGTGTGTGCGCCTGTGAGGAACGCACACCGATCTGCTCGACATATGTCGCCACAAATCACAGTATCTGTCCCTCCTCCCGCCCCCCACTCCCCCGCGCAGCTCCTGACCCAGCGCGGAACCGATAGAGGCGCTGAGAAGAGGCGCCGTTTCAACAGGTGTCTCGGTGCGCAATGCACCTTTTCAGGCATTCACGGTCACCGCCGGCGCCAGCAATAATGCGGACACTTTGTTTCCCAGCGCTGCGCCTGAGCTGAGGGCGTCCGGAGCGGGGGAGGCGGCTCCAGGCAGGGAGGGGGATCTGGAAATAAAGACCTCGTTTGCTCCAGAGCGCCCCAGCCCCTCTACTCCCTTTGTTCCAGGACTCCCCGGGCTGAAGCTTCCTCGTGCGCTCTGGGGGGTAACATATGGCGCCCTCACACCTACCCAAGAAAAGGAACCAGCCACCTATTCAAGAGCGCACGAGGTCCCAGGGCCCCGGGAGGGGGGAGTCACTAAGGGAATGGCCCCTGTCCTAAAGCCCGTGAGCAGCTCGCCTTATCTGTCCCCACCCAACCTCCACCATCCCCTCAGCTGGCGCAGCAGCCGTTGGGTGGGGAGCTATGCGCTAGGCAGCACCAGCCAGCGGAAGCGCCCCAGCTCTTGGCAGATGAAATATGGGGTTGGTGAGCCCCTGGAGACCATATGCTTTCAATAAAAGAAGACAAATAGGACCGAGATAGGCCTTGCAGCCAACCTGTTATAAATGAGTGGTAATTGGGCCAATGTACACCGGGGCAGGGCCCCCGGGGGGGAGGCCTGCTCGGTGCCAAATCCATGTGTCAGCTTCTAGGACAGGTGTGCTCAGGGGCCAGGGACCATGTCTCCCCCCTCCGGGTTTATCACGGTAAAGGTAATATTGTGCTAACTATGAGTAAACAGTCATTGTGAAAACTCGGGAGAGTTTATCAGAGGCGAACTAGTTGGGGGGTGGCTTAACAATAAAGTTGCTCGCCTTAGGAGCAGGTGACGACTGGCTGCGCTGGCTCCCGCCAGAGATGTTTTCCAAAGCACTCTGCTTTACAATCTCTTGTAATTATTTATTAAACGAAATCTATTTATTATTATTTTAGCAAACACTGGAGACAGGTGGGGCTTTCTTTTCGTCGTCTCCTTTTGTTTGAAGGGCTGTTTGAAGTGGCCAGTCTCGGCCCGGCAGCTCGCTCGCCAGATTTTTGTCTTCCTCTCTTTCAGGGCCGAAGAGAAGGCGAGAGAAAGGAGCCCCCTCATCTGACAAGCCATTAGCTATTCAGCTTCCCATGGGGCCCCCCTCCTCCCTGGATCCTCAAAGAGCCCCCAGGCGATGCTGGCACCCCCCCACACAAGAAGACTGCAGGGCCAGCCGCTGCCTTCCCTCTATTCCAATCTGCCGGTGGTCTCCAGGCGTCTGGCTGCCTCCTCTCTTTCTCTAACCCCCTCAGCCTCCAGGAAAGCCTAGGTCTCGTAAAATCGAGGGGTACGGGGTCCAGCCTTAGAGGTGATGGATTACCGGGAACCGCTGGAACAGGCTGCACTCAGGGTAGGGAAAGCGGTTTTACAAACAGTGAGCGCGCGCGGTGCAGTCACTGTCTGCGCCTCCGTAGCCAAAAGCCAGATTACTTTTGGAAAGGGGTCTGTGCGTCACCTGCAGCTGAGAGAAAGGGTATGGATCCTGGATCTCTAAACCTCTGAGACTCCTGGACATCCGACCTAGCCTCCTCCGGGCTAGCTGAGGTGCAGCAGGGAGTTTGGGCATCGCTCAAGCACGCTGTCCTAACCGCTGCGCGCTCTTCAGTCTGACTACTTTTTGCGCAAAGCGGCTGTCGGCAGCCAGAGAGCTCCCGAGGGTTCAGGGTCACACAGGTGTTTAAGGAGCCCGAACGAGAATTCCGAGAGGGTCTCAGAATTCTCTACCTAACAAGAAATTTCGGCAAGAACCCTCAGAATTCTCTCTGGCATTGGAAGCTCTGCGCTCTAGCCAAAACCCACTTACCAGACTGAAAGGGCAGGCCCCAGCCAGGGAGAGTCCCACTTCCATTTTAAGTCAGGGGCCAAATGAGAGCCCCAGCTGTGGATTGTTTTTCAGGGCCCCAGGGAATCCCAGGGATCGCTTGGGTTCCTCAAAGCCAGGGATCTCTTCACAGGGCCTGAATGGGTCTCAGGACCCTAGAGAATCCTGTTTTGAGATTCCTCTCTGTTTCTAATTTTCAGTCATAAATCAAGCAAAGCTATGGTCTGGGACAGAAAACCAGAAGGCAGACTTTGAGTGAAGTTTGCTCGCTTTTGGCCAGGAAGATGGACCACTACTCCTCCCCTAATCTGATTCTGTCTTTGCTCATAGATTCTGGACTTTTTTCTGTTCTCTGCATTTGGGGGTATTTTGTTTTCCCCCCAACAAAGTAACACCAACCCCTACAAGAGGGAAAATCTAGGATTAAGAGATTTAGGCTCTGAACTCTGCATAGCTCTGGTAGAACTTGCTCTATGACCTTGGGCTAGTCACTTCCCTTCTCTGGCCTTGGCTTTTCCTTGTAAAGAGTATTTCAAGTTCCCATTCCTGGGATTAGAAAACAAGCTTGTAGCAAGTTATAACCTAGACAGCTGCAAAGCAAAGAATCTGAGAATCTGGTGCACAGGAAGTCTGACCTTACCTCCAGACTCAATTTCTCCTCAGTCAGGAAGGAACCACCTCCCCACTCAGACCATCTAGAATCCTCAGGCAGCCCCTGTGCCCCCACACCACTCAGTCTCTCCTGCTGGCCCCCAAAGCATACTATCCTCTTCCTGTGGGGAGATTTCCTGTCTGCCCTCCCTCATCCCATCCCCTTAGTCTCCCAGCCAGGGCTTACTTAGCCCTTCTGCAATTTCTCCGGAGGCTTCGAGTATCTGGATACTCTAGAGAGCATAGAGTTGCTGCCTCTGGAGTCTTAACTCCCAGCCTCTGATTCCTTCCCGACACGCATCCTGGACTGGAGAGGAGAAAGGAGCGGAAGCCACAACGCCTCACCCTGAGTGACCGGAAGCAGAAGACCACGGGGTGTCTGAGGCGGGGACAAGAGGGAGGGGCTGCGGGGGGAAACAAGGACAGTGTCTTAAGACTCACTTTGGGAGAGATTTCCAGACAACACTAAGAGGGGCAAACCAGAAGCCTTGGAGAATCCTGGGGGCGGGGGGGCTGGACCAGGTGAAGCTAACCACCCTTTCTGGCTTGTGATTGGACAAGAGGACTAAGAGGAGAGAAAGTAGATCTGCTTTTCTCCCACTGCCTGCACACCATGGGCGTTGAAAAGGCTCCTCACACCTCCTGCATCTCTACCCAGACCAGCCGCAACCCAGGATAGATACTGTCCATGAGGAGTCGTGATGGGGTGCCCCCATTTACTGCCCCCACAGCAACCCTGGCCTCTGGAATGGGATCCATCCAATATCTCAAATGGGAATATGCCTGGGGTTCTCCATGTCTGATTTTTGGAGCTGGGGGCAGCACCTCAAGGTATTGTGGGGTCTTGCCCCACCCCAGGTAATAGTCTGAACAGAAAGGACTTTGGAAGGCTTACTCGGTGTTCACACCATCCTCCCTCCCGGAATGGAGAGTCAGTGAAACACTATGGCACAACATTTTCTAACCTGAACCATAGTGCCCGAGAGCTGGGTCACACTTGGAACTTGTGGGCACTACTCCAAGCTGCCACATGACTGCTGGATCTGCTGGCTGATCTGGGGCAAGCTTCCTCCCTCACTGAGCCTAAATTCTCCCTGTGTGACACTATCAGAAACAGGCCTTTCCTATAGGCGTCCTTGAACCTATTCCAGGTTACCAAGAGAGGGTCTGGACAGATGCCAAAGAGAGGGGAAACGGCAAAACGGTACGCGGTGGCCAGACGCGAGCCAGACTCTGGGCTGGGCAAGGCTCTTTGAGGAACCGAGAGTTGCTGGGACTGAGCCCGGGGGTGGGGCAGGGGTGCAAACAGAGCGGCGCTCCCCTCCCCAGACCCTAGGCCTTTGTCCGGAATCCAGCTGTGCCCCGCGGGGGAGGAGCGGGCTCGCGTGGCGCGGCCCCTGAGCCCCGGCGCTGATTGGCCAGTGGCGCGGGCAGCAGCCGGGCAGGCACGCTCCTGGCCCGGGCCGAGCAGATAAAGTGTGCCACGGGGCACACGACTTCTAGCTCAGGAAATCCCCTGGGGTCTCAGTGCCCCAGCAGAGGCGGGGGACCCCCCTTGGCGCTTCTCTTCTGCTCCAGGGCTGAGGTAACTCTTGCGGGGTACGGCCTGCAGCTCAACAGAACTTTCCAGCAAGCAAACGAGCTCAGCTGTTTGCTCCCTCTTTAACACTGGGCCACGGTTCTCTATTTGCTCCCGGAGAACTAGGTAACAATTGGAAGCCACCAAGGGGTCAACGAGGGGACGGGGGTCCTCGGATCTCGCTTGGGGTGGATACTCCTTGTCTCCTCCGCCACTGGCCTCTGAATCCGGACTGTCTCACTTTTATTCTTGCATCTTTCCCAGCCGCAGGATGGCGCCTCATCCCTTGGACACTCCCAGCATCCAAGTGACCCGTGACACCCAGCAGCTCTTCCCTGGAACCTCGGACAACGGAGTGCTCTGCGCCAAGTCCTCCCCAGCAAGCCCCACTCTCAGGGCGCGGGACTGCGCGGTGATAGAAGCGAGTGACTGCCGAGGGGCCTCGAGGAAGCTCCGCGCATGGCGTGGAGGGCGCAGCCGACCCAAGAGCGAGTTGGCATTGAGCAAGCAGCGACGAAGCCGGCGCAAGAAGGCCAACGACCGAGAGCGCAATCGTATGCACAACCTCAACTCGGCGCTGGATGCGCTGCGCGGTGTCCTGCCCACTTTCCCGGATGACGCCAAGCTCACCAAGATCGAGACGCTGCGCTTTGCCCACAACTACATCTGGGCGCTGACTCAGACGCTGCGCATAGCGGACCACAGCTTCTACGGGCCCGAGCCCCCAGCGCCGCCCTGCGGGGAGATGGGCAGCCCGGACGGCGGTTCTACTGGGGACTGGGGCTCCCTCTACTCCCCAGTTTCCCAAGCTGGCAGCCTGAGCCCCACCGCCTCGCTGGAAGAGCTCCCTGGGCTGCAGGTGCCCAGCTCCCCGACTTGCCTGCTCCCGGGGGCCCTGGCGTTGTCAGACTTCTTGTGAAGAGGCCTGTCTGCCTTTGGGTGGTGGGTGCTGAAAGACAGGGAAGGAGCCAGAGCCGATCGAGGTGGGTGACAGTGAGGCTCTAAAGTGGTCCTCTTCCTTCTGGCGGCCACCAGTCCCATCCTTGGCCTGCTGGGGTCCAATCCTGCCTGCAAGCGCCTTCTCTCCAAACCTTTGATGATGCGGGTGCTGAGTGGGCATTGCAGGCTGTGTGTATCTTAAGCCTCCTCTGTGCAGCCACCACAAAGGCAGAGTTTGTTCAACGTAGACCAGAAAGGAAGCACTGCGCAGTCGGAGACGCCCATGGTCTCCAGTCACCCTGTCCTCACTTTCAAATCTGTCAGCTTTTCCCGGTGTCTCCAACCACCCCTTCCCCAGCGTGAACTAATAGTCCAAGGTTCTGTCTCTCCGCACTTGCACCCTCACTAGGCTCCTGCTCCCTCACTTGGCTCCAAAGAGGCCGCTGATCTTCTTTACTCCCTATATAATCCAGGGTTTGGGGCCCGCTCCACTCTGCCTTAATCCACGAAGGTGATGCTCTGCCTTCTCCTCCTGCACTTTTCGGAGCCCTTGCCCTTCCCGGGCAGGTGGGAGACCAGGCTGTGAAATGAGAAAGCCCTAGCTTTGGCTAGGAACATCTGCCCTGCTTGGGCGGAGTCTGAACAGTGAACTGCCCTGACAAGTGCCTGGAGCCCTGTGTGTCTCTTTAAAACAGGAAGAAAAATCAATCTGTAAATATTATAATGTCTTTTGAAATGAATTTTGTAATGGTAAATTATATGCCTTGTCCCCTATTTTAGACATTTGTATTTATTGGGGATATTTCATGGTGGGGAAAGTTTATATTTTGTACATAAGATTATTAGAGACTAGTGAATGAAATTTTGAGCTAATAAAAGATGAACTCTCAAGAATCCTCAGTGAGGTGCCTCGATTGTCAGTGAGAAGAGGATCACTGAAGGGCTCCTCCCCAGCCAGGAGGGGAATAAGGGTCTGGAGCCTCTCCCTTGGGTGCTGGACTGGATGAAGTGGGAAATCCCTTAAGAAATCATTGGTCCAGCTTTCCTGCTGTCTTTATAGGGCAGTGACTTGCCTATTTCAAACAACAGTGTAGAAGAAAGACCAATCTCTTGCTGGGACTAGTGATTCTATAAGCCATTTCTGCCATACTATTAGCCTGAATTTACAGCTACTCTGGCCTTAGGAAAGGGAGAGAGTGATAATTTAGACAACAAAGCCAAAAGTCCCTCGAAGCACTCCCTCTGGGCTAAACTCCCAGGAATCACAACCCCTTTCCAAGGTGCTTGGAGGCCAGCCTCCCTCCCCTGCCCCCACAAATCCATAGTTTGCCCTCCATGCTCCAGGACTGTTTTAAAGCAGTTTTGCAGCTGGATCAGTCCCTGGACTCTGAAAAAGAAGTGCTCCAACCCAGGGAGGGTGATTAGGCCTTAGACTCAGATCTGTGGGTAGCTCACTTTTCTACACTAGAGTGCCCAGGTGGCAGATTCTCAGGGGATTAATGCCTCTTGTGTCTTTCTCCCCAACACCCTCCCCCCTTTCAATTTGAGCTTTTTCTCTACTCCCAAGTCTCTAGAGGAAGCTCTGGGGAGCTATGTCTTCACTATCACTGGCAGGGGTTGGGGGCAGGATGGGGGAATGCCGCAAACAAGAGACTGAACAGAGTGTTGTTTCATTTGGAAGCTTTAATCTGGGAGGCGGAGATTAATGGGTTATTGGTGACCTCAGTAACAGTCAACTTTCCACCTGGGGCACTGCCCGGGACAGGTGTCAACAACTCCCTGCTGCACAGTTCAAGCAAATGCCTGCTACTGGTTGGCCACTTGGGGGGAAGGGTGCAGACAGAATGAGAAATGGGAAGCTCTTGGTCCTCCCAGAACCATAGCACAGATGCAGACAGAATCACTCAAGACCAAAGAAATGTCACTGCAACTTGGAGGTACCAGTCACAAGTGGAGCGTGGGGCCATTACCCAGTGTGGTTTGCAGGAGGCTTGCTTGCGGGAGTCATTTGGAGTCAGAACTAATTTTGGAGAGGAATTTCTGAAGCAGAAGTAAACCACCACCCCACCCCCTGGCTTTTTTTTTTTTCCCCCCTGTGCCAGGCTATGAGAAGTAGTGTTTTCTCCAGGTGGAGACTCCTTTGTACAAGTGAAGTTAGACACTGTCAGAAGTTGAAGATTGGACAATGGGGGAAGCCAAGGTGCACCCACAGCCCAGTCCCCTCTCCGCTTTCCAGAGCGATCATTAAGGGGCCATTAGACACCCAACACACACACAGATTGGTCCTCCTTCCCACGAATTAAAACACTCATGAGGGATTTAACCACCCCAGCTGGTCTGCTACCTTGAGTTGGGGCTGGTTTGGTTCAAGAGCTGTCAGCCCAACACTCCAAGTCAGAAGGAAGTGGATGAAGGTTTAGGGTTTAATTTCGTTAATGCAAACTTTAGGACTCAGTGGCTTGGATAGTTCCATCAGTGTGTGGAATGGTACTAAGGTAGTAACTGATAGGTTTTGGATGGGTCAGGTGGTTCAAGAGGACACTAAAACTGATCACTAAGGACTAAGGAGTTTATTAGAAGAGTGATTAATGTCAGAGATCGAGAAACAGAGAGGTAACAATATGGCAAGGTCTCTGAAGAGGATTAGCCTGGGTGACAAGCATTCTAGAAGCCTCTTTCTAAAAAGCCCTTCTTGGAAATATGTGACTGGCAAATCCAACTAGCCCAACACTTAACCTTCCACCCCCTGAGCATTTAAAGCTGAGGGGAGGGCATCTTCTGGGAGAACCCTCTTGCTTCCTCTAGCCACCCTTCCTTGGCTTATCCCGTAGTCTGGGGTGGCCACTTGTGCCCAGCTCCCAGAAACCCTGACAGGATCCCAGGCTCTATCAGAAAAGGCCCTTAGGTAGAATACGTCTTCCTCTTCTTCAGCTTTTGTCTGAACCCAAGCCTAACTCCCAGAAAAACAGCACATGAATCTTGGGCTCATCCCCCTCCCCAACACCCTCACCCTCCCACCCCTTTGGCACACACAGGCAGGTAGATTTATGGTGCCCTGCCCTCCACCCAAGCCTCACCCCACCCCCAGCCTGCGGGGATTGAAGGACAAAGCATCCCATAGCCTTTGGAATGCTAATGTCTGGAAGCCAGGCTGCTGGGCTGGCTCAAAGGCAGGCGGGGCTTGGAGCACCCTTTCCCCCTTGAGCTGTGTGACCTTGGACAAGTCTCTGAGCCTCTACTAATTCAAAAGAGAAGTAAGAGGTCCTGAGACCTTTTCACTAGATTTCTGGGAGTCTAACAGGAAGTTGTGCTCATGGTGAATGAACTTACAACCCCATATTCCCAACCAGAAGTGGTGGAAAATACCCTTAAGTTCCCTGAACCAGAGTCAATGCGGGAAAGCATAGAGTGGGGTACTGTGTAAAATAAACACGGAGTAAATGTATTAACAGTTTTACATTTCTTTTCTCTGCTCTAACCCCACCCTCCCCCCACCACCTGCCACTTAAAAACTCCTGAAGACCAGAGCTCAAGGAAAAAGGAGCCAGCATTTGCTACCTTTACCTGCCTGCCCCACCTTCAAGGAGCCAGAGGCCAGGATAGTGAGTGACTTGAGCCTATGCACTTCTCAAGGACCCTCCTAACAGGTGCAGTGTGACCACACTCATGGAAGCAGCTATTCCAGAAGAGGCTTGCTCAAGGCCCACAGTCATTTGGTGAATTATCTGAGCAAACTGGGCCTGAGACCCTGACTCTACAGTAGTGGTTCCGTGCCCTTTACTGTCCACAGGTAGGAGAGGAACATACTGTCTATAGTTTTATGTTTTGGGTTCCAGTTGCTTCCCTGGGGTTCTAGTAAGGCCCAGAGGCTCCGCTGAGCTTTGATGTACCCCACGTCCAGGGCTCCTGGCCAACTTTCAGGTCCTATCTGTTACCTCTGCATCTGAGATCATGGCCCAAGGCTGAATGATGGTGCGTCACTGTCTGCGGAACTCAGTGTACCAATTACTTAGATCCCGCCAGCACGCCCCTGACCATGGTGCTGAAATGTCCGCGTTGTTTTAGCGCAAGGGATACGCCTGGGAAAGCGGTGTTCTCAGTGCAGAAAACGACCTGCCCACCCCCTCTGTCCATGTTTCCAGGATAGAGTCCCAGGGTGGCCCCTGTGGGCATTAAAACTTAGGAATCTCTCTCAATCTCTCTCTCTCTCTCTCTCTCTCTCTCTCTCTCTCTCTCTCTCTTTCTCTCTCTCTCTCAAATTATAGCCCTCTTTTGTAAATGGCAGAGCTAGAAGCTAGAGCCAAGTGACTAGAGAATTCTGACAACATCTAAGGTCTGATGTAGAACAATACTGGAAGTTTAGTCTAAGGAAACTCTGGATGGAAGACCTGCTTTGAAAATTTGCCCTTACTGGGGATTTTTATTCTTTGAGTTACAATGAAGTTTTAATGATTCCAAGAAGAAGGACAAAAGAAAGTCTAGTGCACACACGGCATGGCAACGTGGTTAACAGTAACAGCTTTGGATGTAAACATATGATTCAAATCCTGATGTTTTCTTCTAATTAGTGGCTTTCCATTAAAGTCCTTTTATCTTTTTGAAAGCTTATTTTCCTCATTTGTGAATTTGAGATAATAACTAATAGGCACTTAATTGGGCTGGTGTTCTAATTAACTATGCTTGTTTTGTCTCCCAAGCCTCCTCCAACAGTATTTATTATTAGTATCTAAAATTGTCCTCCTCTCCTGGAGGGAGGAGGAAGACTCTGTGTAAATTCGAATTTGTTCGTTGTTCCTGCATGTTGTAGACTGACACAAAGGCCAACCACCCCATCCTGGTAACCATTCCAGAGCTCCAGGGTTACATGTTCAGCTGTCCCTTGGGGGCCCTGAATGAGATGTCCAAAATGGAATTCCTCTCCGCCACCCCCAAATCAATGTCCCCTCGTGTGTACTAAGTAGCACCATCCATACTAGACAC